CTGAACACAGGGGATGAGGAATATGAAGAAGAGGACGCTGATGACCTCAGTGGTTACCTTGAAGACTCTTCTTTCCAACTCCACAGTGACACCAGCTCTGCCCTCGAAGACGTGGTCGCCCCTTTCCACTTGCACGACCTCGACTTTGCAACCGAGCCATTCCTGTTACATGGCTCAGGTAAACACAGTAACCACGAATCTCTGAGGGGTGGGGTTTCAGATGTCTCCACACACTTGAAAGACTTAGATCTCATGGGCCTGGACCGCCAGTGTCGCCACGGCAGCAGTGGCTCCAACATGTCCATGGACTGTGGTGAGCAAGACTGGGGCGACGATGGTGATTATGAGGATCATCCGATGCGATGCGGAAGGAGCAGTAAGACGGGTTCATACTCGTCAATCTCGTCTCTGTCTCAGACCTGCATGCATCACTTCCCTGAAACCTTTGGTGATCCATTTCACCATGGCTATGCCAGTGACTCCTCCTGCAACAGCTCTGATGGTGTGCTCGTTAATTTCAGTGCAATCTTCAACAGGATGAACAATGAACCTGAGAAGCCGCAACCATCAGTTCTTATCAACCTTAATAGCTCCTCAGACCAGTACTGCACCTCTCCTGCGTCTGATCCTACAGGAAACCAGGAAGACTTAGGGGGCGGGGCCTTTTATCTGGACCTTCAAACCTCACCAACTGAACCACCGTTGCAGCAGCAACAAACATCCAGCCAGGGAAGCGGCTTCTCACTGATCCAAGAGCGGCACCTGTCCACCTCCTCTGCTTGCTCGTGCTCAATGGAGCACCAGGGGGCACTGGCCCTCGATGCCAACTGCAACACATACCACCCTCCACAGTCTGGGTCGTCAGGTGACCTGGCATCCTGTCTGCAGAGCCAGGCTCGTTTGGTTGTGGCCACCCAGAACTACTACAAACTGGTGTCCTGTGATCTTTCATCACAGTCTTCTCCAAGTCCTGCCCCCTCCTCTGTCAACAGCTGCTCTGATGAGCCCAGCAAAGGAAGCCCCAGCCCCTCGCAGCCCAGCGAGTATTTTCTGTTTAGACGGCAGGATGGCGTGGATCAGGAAAGGGAGGACGGACCATTGTCTGTGGTGAGTTTGGCACCAAAGTTTTATTAAAATGATATCACTGCTGCAGTGCCAGGGCCAAAGTAACAAGGGTTTCATTTATGTAGTTACCTTAAAAAAGCTTTATAATATTGAATCAAACTGTTGAAATATTGTATTAATATCTTTAGCCTTTATTGAGCCAAAAAATGAATTTAAGAATTTTTGTTAATATCTATTATTAAAAATGCTTTTCTATAGAGAGCTAAAGGTGATCATGATAAGGAGAAGGGAGAAGAGCAAAATGAAGAGGACAAGGAGAAGGAGGATGAGAAAAAGAAGCAGGCAGAAGGTGGAACTGGTACTTCTCCCTCTGTAATTAAGGGTCAGGTGTATGTCAACACCTCCCCTCTTTTGATTGGACGGGATGTTATCAGCGGAGGAGTCTCTTCAGTGAGTCGCCTTCGTTCCCGCAGCTACGATCGCAACCTGGACAAGCCTCCATCTCCTCGTCTTGGGTCTTTGGAGCGGATGCTGAGCTGCCCAGTCCGTCTTAGTGAGGGTGCCGCCCCAGCCCCGCCTCCTCCTCCGAGGGTCACGTCGTTTGCAGAAATTGCCAGAAGTAAACGTAGGAATGGAGGTGTTGGAGCTTCACCTCCACTGAAGACTAATACTGAGCCCTTCTACTATGCTCACTCTGCCCACTCTCACCCTTCTGGGGACTTCTCTCCAATCCAAGAGCAGCGCCTTGAGGTGGACACTCAATGTTTGGACCCTGCTGCCTTCAGCAGGTGTTACAGCAATGGTAGCATGGAGCGCCCACAAGAGATAGGGAGTGAAAGTTGCAGAAGACCTGAAGGTACGGTTGAGTATTTTGAGTATCTGCACTCAGCCGATTGAGATTTGTTCTTAAAACAATAAATATTTCATAATGTGTTTAACAATCTATAATTTAGCAATAATTTATTAATCTTTGATTATTGATTGGGGTTCACATCAGTGGCTGCTGCGTCTTTAAGAGCAGTTTCTGGTTATTGATTCAGAGAATACAGAGAGCTGCTGATGCATCATGGCTGACAAAAAGGAGGAGAAGAAGGGAGGAAAAGGGGGAAGAGAGGGAGAAAACGGGGAGGAAAAAGGTGGGATGATAGAGATGACTGTCTTCCTGGGTGTGTCACTTTTTCTCTTTCTAATATCTTCTTATTTTTTAAAATCTGTTCAATGCCACCTCACTGTGGTCAAGGTCAGCACTGCAGTGTATGGTCAGCTGACATGAGTGGGCTTGGTCTTAGTTGATAAACAACTTGTGCAATACTCGCACACACATTTCCATAAATTCCTGTGGATACGAGAGCGTTAGCGGGGTATTACTGTTGTTTCTTCTGACCTCAGGTTCTGTGTATATATATATATATATATATATATATATATGTGTGTGTGTGTGTGTGTCTGTTTGTGCAGAAGATCAAGCAAAACTAAATGAAATTACAGATTATTCTTTGATTGCAGTTTAAAATTAAGTTTCAGTTTGATATTTTTGTTTTTTACGATCTACAGTCCACAGACGTGAAAAAATGTTCTTTATTATTTAAGTCACATTTCACTTTTATGTTTATTTCAGGTTCGTGTCATTTTGTGATTCAAGTTTAATCCAACTTGAAGTAGGTTTGGCATGGTAAAAGTTGTAAAATATATTTCTGAATACTGAAGACTCTAAGTTTCAGAAATTAGTTGGCTTTCTGCTTAGTTGGCATTTTTTTACTGAAACAATATAACTATCTTTCCTACCATTTTTTTTTCCTTTTTCTGTTCTTTCTCTTCTCTGACACTTCCTTTCATGACACCCTTCCTGTCCTGAACTTCTCCCTCTCCTCTTGGCTCCTTGGTCCTTCACCTATAAATCCAGGTATTGAGTCTGCCTCAGATGCTCCTCCTGCTGTGATCCGGTACAGTCTTGACCAGCGCCCCACGTCTCTGCCAATCCAGCCGTTCACCTTTCATCACCAGTTCCCGTCCAAGCAGGCTCAGCCCAAACCTTTGCTGCCCCTGCTCTCAGGCTACGTCTCTGGGATGCAGGCTCGAGGGAGTTCTGAATCTGCAGCTGGAGGTCCACTAGATGAGGACAGTGAGAACATAGCTGAAAATGTAGACACATACCGAGAGGCTCTGACTGGAGCAGCAGACCCTGGTCCTGGATCAGTCCGTCCTTCACCCCTCGGTAGTTACTCCCCCGTGCGTCTCCAGGGGCCACAAAGCTCTGGGACCTGCTCTACTTGCACCCCAAGTCCTTACCCACCTCCACAACCACCGGCCCAGCGACCTCAAAACCTCAGCTCCCCCCGGTCAGAAGGCCCCATTCTTTCACAGGGCAAACAGGAAGTGAGGTCAGTGCCATTACTACTGACCCCACCTCTGTCTTCGAGTATGAAAAGAGGGGCGGGGCCAACTCTTCTGCCACCACTACAAGATCACTGCTACCATCGCGAAACTCCGCCCATTCTATCTGGGCTGCAAAGCGACACTTTAAGTCCCCTCGGAATCATGGAGTCTGGAAAGCATGGAGAAGGAGGAGAAGGGGACGGAACCAGGACACAAAATGGTATGTTCCAAGTTTTAAATAAAATAGTTTATAATGTTTTTTTTTTTTTAGAGTGATGGTATCATATTCTAACTTTACATAGAGAGACCAACAGCTGGTAAATGAAGCCTCAGACACACTCACTCACCAAAAACATTTAAAAACATCAACTAAGAAACATGTTCAGTTCTAAGAATTACCCAAACTGTCCACACGAGGCAGTATGTACTAGCAGCTCCTTTGTTCCTATGAGTTAAAATCACTCTCACTGACTCTCACTATGGTTTGGAAAAGTGAGCGTTTCTGCCTATTCTTATTCCTCTCTTTCTTTCTTCCCTTTTTTCATGAACACCCATCCTTATCCTCCTTTATGTTCATATTCTCATCCGCCTCCTTTTTTTGGTCCCTTCATTCATCCTCTTTATCTCCTCCTTGACCTTCATTGCACTCTTTAACCCCACCATTTCCCTTCAGCCCACCACCTCTCCCCCCAAGCCCTTAAATGGAAGGAGTACAGGCGACGTAACCCTCTCGGGGTGGAGCGAGTCTGTGAGCCACGGCGAGCTGCGACAGGACAGCGAACTGTTAGACGCAACGTGTTCGATTTCCCATCAGCGCCCTCTATCTACACGCTGGGACGACTTCAAAGAAGTGATGATTGTTTTTCAGGAGATTTTGTTTTTCTGAATGTAGATTTTTGTTTAAATTTTAGTAACAAACTTTGTCGGTGAGAAAGAAATATACATGGGCTGCACACACTGGTCATAAGAAACATATTCTGCCCTGATTGTGATTTCAGTCACAAATTATTGTTAGAAACTAAGAATTGTTTTATTATGTATGGTACCTAAATTTCTATTGTGTCCTTTATTTTTCAGAACGTCCTTAAAGGTTTTATATATTGATTCCCATGAATGTTATTGACATTTATGCACATGTTAGTGTTTCATTTTTGATGTGCTCATGTTTAACATGTGTCTGTGTGTGTGTCTGTTAACCAGGCCAATCAGCAAAGCCTCTGCAGAGCGACTTCTTCTCTGATTATTTCTCTCTGACGGAGAAACCTCCAGAAGAGTTCTGTCTCTCCCCCGATGCTTCATCTTCAACACCATCTTCTGTACACGTGTCTCACGTCTTTGTGGACCTCGTACAAAAAAGAGGTGTGTGTGTGTCTGTGTGTGTACAGACATTTCACTTTTCTAACATGAAAGAGGAGAAATAAGGTCAAATGTCATGGAGAGTGATTGTTATCCTGGAAAATTATTTATCCTTCCGCTGAATTGTTAGGGATTGCAAACAGGCTGTACATGTCTGTTGTCGCCTTGTTGTTGTCGTTATATGTATTAATAGCATCGCTACGATACCCAGAAACATTGAAACCACCAAACTTTCTATTTGACACAACATTGCCAATGAAGAAATTGTACTGGTTTAGCTGTCTATGAGACTAATATGCTTTCTTTCTGTTCCTCAGCTCTGGTGAAAGCCGTGAATACAGCTATTGACCTGATTGTGGCTCATTTCGGCACCAGTCGAGATCCGGATGTAAAGGTTAAAAGATCTTCAATTTAACAGCTTAATGTATATAAGGGAAAAACTCCTTGCTGCTATAAACCAGTCCAAGAAACTAAGGTTCACTCTCAGTGAAAGCTGTTCTATATTTAAATGAGATTTATTAATTTATTTTTTTATCTTTGTTTTTTTTCATGTTTCTCTGCCTGTCCTTCAGGCCAAGCTTGGCAATAGCTGGGTAAGTCCTAACATTGGTCACCTGATCCTAAAGTATCTCTGCCCCGCCCTCCATGACGTGCTGCAGGATGGATTAAAGCCGTATGTCCTGGACTTGATCATTGGTCAGCGTCGCTGTCAGCCCTGGAGTCTGGTGGAGGCCTCAACCCAACTGGGTGAGGAAGCTCTGACTTTCATTTTTATTTCTTTCATTGATTATTTCATTGTAGCTTCACACTTGACACACACGCCGACACAGATGACAGTTTAACAGACTTTATTTTCAATAGTCCCAAGTGCTTTGCTTTTCCATTGTGGTTTGTTTGTTGTGCCAACACCCACTTCTCTGTCCACTCTCCCTCTTCAGTCCCGGCTCCTACTAATATAGGGAGAGGCTTGATTACTCGAATTGCACTCACCTGCATGCGGGGCTGCACCTGCGTTGCCACTCCCGTGCTCTCCCTGCTGCAGCTGAGCGCTAACCTCCTCATCAATTGATTTAGTGATTGATTTATTGATAATTACTGGTCAATTGATAACAGAGATGTTTTTTATTCCAAAGATGATCAGTGTAAAAACATGTAATGGGTAAAAAAAATTTAAGGTCAACAATGATGTCACATGACATCCTGTGTGTCCTCAGGTCCATCCACTCGTGTCCTCCACAGCTTGTTCTCTAAAGTGAGTCAGTTTCCAGAGCTCAACAACACCAACATGAGGATAAATGCCTTCATCTTTGGCCTCCTGAAGTAAGTTATTTTTCCTGATAGACTCCTTTTTAATTTTTTTCAGGAAAAAGGAAATTGTTTTTTAATGTTTATTAAATAAGCATTTAATTGAAGAGCGACTCTACATTTTTCAGTCTGAAATCTCTGGAGTTCTGGTTCACTCATCTCCACACGCATGAAGGTAGGACTGATGACACTAACAGACGACATCATCACTATTTTGGCAGAAAGGCTATTTGAAGTCTAGAGAGTTGTTAGTTTTCTTCTCACATGCAGACTTGTCCTCACTGGGAGGAGAATGTCCAAAAGATCTGTAACCTGCAGAAGTTACAGTTCTTTTTAGTCTCGGAAGCTAAAACTGCCAAAATATAGTATACAACTTTTGACTTTGTCTGTGTGTTAAATTTTCTGGCATTCATTTTTACATTTCTTAGATATCATTGATGCTCACTACAACCGCTGGGGTTTGCTGCCCCTGTCCTGGGGTCCCTGCCGACCACTCTTCCAGGAGCTCCTCCTCCTGCTCCAGCCGCTTTCACTCTTGCCGTTTGACTTGGATCTCCTCTTTGAACCCCATCTCCTTCAGAAGGGGGCAGAGCATCTGCGTCGAAAGGAGCTGCTGTGTTCAGTAGGAGGTCAAAGAGTCCGTCACTCTAATCGCTCCACCTTCGAGCTCATGAGAGGTTGGAGCACTACAGTTAGCGACATGGTCGGAAATTCAGGAGGTGAAGCCAAAGCAGAGAGGACAGTGCTTAGACAAGAGGGGACCTGGCCAAGAATGGAAGTGAAGAGGAGAAATGGATCAGGGCTTGATGTAAAAAAAGACAGGAGAGAGATGGGTGTGGGACAGGAGGACAGGAGGAGCAGGAGACAAGAGGAGGAATCAGAGCAGGGACGTCACCGCCAGGAGCGGCAGGCGGGCTGGTGGTATCAGCTGATGCAGTCGTCTCAGGTCTACATCGACCAATCATCTGAGAGGAACAAGTTCCTCAAGGTTGACAAGAGGAAGAAATCCATGATGGAAAGACGGCACGCTCAAGCCCCACCCACCAGAGAGGGTGTGGTGGAGGGTGCGGAGTCACAGCCACAGGTAGAAGGCTACGAAAACAGCAGCGTGAGAGGGAAACCAACTTGGATGGGCAGCCCACCAGCGTCTGTGCTCAGCCCCTTATTACCACCACCTGCTGGTCAGGAGCAGGAGCAGAGCCAAAACCTACGCTGGAGCAGACTGTTTGGATCCAGAGGGGAGGGGACACAGTCAAGGGGGCGGAGTCAAAAGACGAGGTTCGATTTGATATTCACTAAGAAAATGAAATTGTCTCTGTAAAAATGTGTGTTTTTTTTTCATGTATTTTAATATAAATACATGTTTAATTTAATTTTAATGGAGAGCGCCATCATTAGGTCCGTCACGGTTTTCTGTTTTCACAGACCACCCTCTGGTTGGTTCTCCCTGGATCGTTCTGTTCTAGGTTTTGTTGCTCAAACTATTGGAGCAGGAAGTGGAAAAAAGCTGGAGCCTCCGACAGCTGTCACTCACACAACAACAACATGTCATCCATCCAACGACAAACAACTGTCTCTGTGGTGAATGACTGACTACACACCATTCATTATTCATTTATTTACTGATTACAGTGTTGACAAATTATGTTGGTTGATTCACTGTCTTTTGGGGCCTTCTCATTTCTCCTCAGTGAAGTCAGAGCACTGTGTGACCATGTGGCCACTGAGCACGGTCAGCTGAGCTTCAACAAAGGCGATATCCTGCGTGTCCACAGCCGAGCTGACCCTGATTGGCTTATCTGCTCACTAAACTCCAACCACGGCATAGTCCCCATCATCTACGTTACTCTGAAGAGCTCAGAGGAGGAGGAGCAGGTGGAGGTGGAGTAGCGTGAGGATACTGCTGCTGTTTAAATCTAGACTGAGAAGACAATGTAGGAGCATGATGACAGAAACACACTGTCTGCATGCACTTAAAGATTAAAACCCAAAGTCTAGAATTTTTTTTTATCTCCATCATTATCATCGTTATTGTCTCTGCGTCCAGCAGAACTAGGGCACATGGTCACTTTCTGTGCTGCTGTCTAACCTCCATTCGCTTCAATGAAGACGTAAATAGCGTAGAACGCAGCAAATAATTTATTTTTCCTGTTTAAAGTGAACAATGTAAAAAGCATATACACTCTTATTAATGTTAATTTAATGGATGATATCGAGATCACGTGTATGGATTCCTACTGTTTTTCTTCTCAGCTCTACAGCAAAAAGTTCAATATTAATAAAAACATAGTTGAAGTGTAGTTGAAGTGTAGTTTAAGTGGCGCTTTGGCCCAGAGGCAATGTCTCTGTCATTGGTGTGGAACTTCAGGGTTCACCTCCTGGGCAAGTTCGAATCCCTGTTAGGACTCACCACCCGCAGGAAGGTTCAGGGGGGGTTGGTACGGTCCAGTGTGATTTGGGTGGCGACTGCTGCCCCTGCGACCCGGTAACGGATAAGCGGATGGATGGATGGATGTGTGGAAGTGTAGTTTAATCCGACAGATGGCGGTAATGATACTTCTCACGGTGAACACTAGTGCTAAGGACAAAACTGGGGGTGCGAGCCTGTTTTCGCTGCAGTAGATGTTCTCTGAAATTAAACTAATTAGTTCCCAATACCAAAAATGCATAAAAGTACTTGATTTTCCTTGTGCTTCCACGGTTAAAACCTTTCCTTAGAGGAAAGTCCAGTCTAGTCGTTCATGGCAAAGTCATAAACAATTGTTTGGTTTCTTCACGTTGGGAAGAAATCACATAAAATGGTGCTTGAAGGAGATTCACCAAGTTTTGTTGCCTGTCAGGTCAGTCAGAAATGTTTGACATCAGACTGACTTGTTCATGGTTTCAATGATCATATGTCATAGATAGAAGAAAATGTCTGTAAGAGCTTAAACCTTAAATCAGGTTTGGTCAGAGGGGAAAAAAGTGGTTGTGAGAAAACTATTAATACAAATCCAACTTTTTTTTCATTAATATAGGCTTCACTCTGAAGAGGAAACTTGTCGTGATTTAGTGCAAAGAATGTCTCCCCCTTCATATTAGAAACTAGTTGTTTCAGCAGTAGCTTCTCTTTGTGTTGCTACTTTTATGGTCCTTTAAATTAAGGCTGTTGTTTAAATCCGACTTTTCTTCAAAGAAGAGTTTTGATTCCAGGACCACAAGGAAACAGTTTCCCACAACAGAGCTTTAAACTCTATTGACGGATCACAGCAATGGCAGAAGTAAAACATATTAATTTTAATATTTTATATAATATAGAATATTTTTATTCTGAAAAAGAAAAAAGACAGAAATCTTCAAGAGAGTTTTGCAAAATGCACAGGAACTACATAGAACGTTTGCATTTTCTTTTTTCTGGGTCAATGAAGCTACTTCAATAAAGGCACTCTGGCACAAAGGGACTGGAACTAGAATAAAGAGAAATACTATTGCAAGTACTGTAGTACCAGGCACCAGGGACAGTACCTAATACTCTACACATTTCCACAGACTCTAAAAACAGTACCAGGAGCTGTGAAGAAATGTCACAAATGTCAGTACCGGAATTTATTAGACAGTTCCAGGAACTAACTTTCTAGAAATGAAGTTCTGTTTCAGAGATAGTTATTGTTTAAAACTGCAGGAACCAGTGAAGGATGACAAGAGAAAGGAAAATGAAATGTTTGAATTACAATAACAGGGAGCAGTACCAGAAATGTTGTGGGTTTTCAATGGTGAACATAATACCAGGAATGGCGATCAGTACCAGTTGCTCCCTTACAGGACCAAGGAACTAAATTCGAGTAACTGGAATGTTTTGTGCCCCCCAAAATCATCTCTGCGTATGAATGTGAATATTGGAATATGAAGGAGCTTTTTTTGTCCCTCCTTCATTTAAATATTGCAATTGCCTGGTCCTTGTGATGGAAACACTGAAGTTATGGTACAGTTCTGTAGTTACTGCGGTGTGGTTCTATTACATTTCTGATATGACAGGGAATATTTAAATGTGGCCTTAGTTTAAAAAAATAAGAATAAAAATAATTTTAATAAATAGATAATTATTATAAACAAACATATCTGATTTACACACATTCGTTCACTTTATACACCTTTAACTCTAATTAACACTTTATGTACATTTATGAAATAATAGTGGTTGTTTTACTTGAATTTTTCCTGAATTGTAAGCTCAAGGTGATTTTCATTTCCTGTTTAGAGTCAGGCAGGAAGTGATGTCTTAGTGGAGATAAAGGGAGAGAGAGAATAAAAAGGTCTATTTGACTTGTATAAAAATGCAATTTAATAGTGTCAGACATGAAGTTATTCTGTTGTCGGTTGTTTTGTTTTTTTTCTTTGTTTATGCCTGTATCTACACCAAACCCATTGTTAGTGAAGCTGCTCCTCTTCCTCTGCCTCCAGACCCCCCCCACCCTCACCACCTTCACCTCTCTGGTCAGATTATCTGAAGTGTATGTTCATCATAATCAAACTCTGGATGTTCAATAACAAAGTGCTGATGTGATCAGACTCTGACTAAGGACTCTTTTCTTCTTGACTTATTATTATTAACTTGAAAAGACTGAAAATCCTCCACCACCTGGGATGTGGGTGTATATCAGTCGAGGTTTGGGCCCTTTGTTAGACTTATCGTATATACATTTATTAATTTAGTTGTAGCTTCAGGTTAGATAAAGTTAGTTTGAAGCTACAGTTTATTAAATGTAAGGTGAATGTGTTTTTATTTGGGGGGGGAGTAAGTTGAGTTGTTTTATGGTATAGTTAATTTATAAACATTGTAGGGTTAAGGTGAATATCATAAGTAGTTTATTTTAAAATTAGTTCAGGTTTTTATGTAGGTGGACTATTTATTTTGAGTTGAGTTGAAGCAGACATGAATGAACTTTATGCCGTGTCCAACCCCCTTTATAATCCTACAACACGTATGGTAAAGACTGATTTCAATCCTTGTTTCCTGCATTGCGCCGATTCAACAAATTCAATGAATGCCACTAGATGGCGGCAGATAACCAATCTTTCTGTTTAACGTCAACCGCAGCCGCTGGAGTTCACAGCTTAAGCTATCAGAGTGATAAGAGTAATTAATCTGGAGCATTTGGTTTCTTTATGGTTCTATATGGTTTAGAACAGTGTTTCCCAAACTTTTTTCTGGGGACCTACATCTTACAGGTCAATAGACATTATTCATAAAAAATAGCCACTAGGGTACAGTAAGCAGTGTTTTATAGTGCCGGTCCCAAGGCCGGATAAATGGTGAGGGTTGCGTCAGGAGGGGCATCCGGCATAAAACTTTTAGCCAAATTAAATATAAGAACCACTAAAACGATTTCCATACCGGATCGGTCGAGGCCCGGGTTAACAACGACCACCAACAGTGCTGTTGACCAACAGGGTACTGGTGGAAATTGGACTACTGTTGGTCAGAGTCAGAGACAGAGAAGAAGAGGAGGACAATTGATTCGGACAAAAAGAGAAAAGAGGAAAAATAGAAGTGTTGTTCTGAAGTTTGGAACTCTGAATGTAGGTACAATTACAGGGAAAAGTAGAGAACTGGCTGATATGATGGAGAGAAGAAGAATAGACATTTAGTAGCAGGAGACCAGGTGGAAGGGCAGCAAGGCTAGAAACATTGGAGGAGGCTACAAACTGTTTCATCATGGTTCAGATGGGAAGAGAAATGGAGTAGGGGTGATCCTAAAGGAAGAATATGTAAGAAATGTGGTGGAGGAGAAACGAGAGTCAGACAGGTTGATGTGTGTGAAGGTAGAAATAGAAGGACTGATGATTAATGTTGTTAGCGGTTATGCCCCACATGTGGGCTGTGAGTTAAAAGAAAAGGAGAAATTCTGGAATGAGCTGGATTGAGTGATAGAGAGTTGAACTTGGAAGGACAGGCAGTGGTAGATTTTGCAAAGAGAATGGAAATGGCTGTGGTAAACACATATTTCCAAAAGAAAGAGGAACATAGGGTGACTTACAAGAGTGGAGGCAGGTCCACACAGATAGATTATATTCTATGCAGAAGATGTAATCTCAGGGAGATTAGAGACTGTAAGGTA